ATACATACATAATTATTACCTATTTTCCCTCTGGGATCAATAAAGTATTTTTGAATTTGAATTGAACTGAATTGAATAAATTACATTTCCCTCTTGTCTTAAAAAATGAAAAACATCAGGAAATAACGAGGACAGAAAATGTTTTTTCTTGGATGCTTCCCTCAGCAGGTGTCACCACRCTGAGCAGCTGGATTCCCCTTCTGACCCACGGGCTTGAACCCACAGCTTCAGGATTATGAGCCCACAGCCCTAACCACCAATCCACCTCATCCCTCTGGTGAAGAAAGATGATAAACGATATAAATAACCAGGAGCCTGCATTGCTGTGGTGTACAGAGGCAGGKGATTGGCCAGTAGGGTCGACCTCTCCAGGTGAGTCCCACAGCTTTCACGGAAAACAGTTTCTTCAGCCAGTAGGTGTGGGTCATGTCTGTCCACCTTTTTATTTTGGGTTACCACTTATATGTACTGGTTCTTGTTCTGGGAGTTTGCTGTGGTCTCACATCAAACCACAGAGCAGTGGTGTTGGGTATCCATACCACACCTTTGGCACATAATCCTTTTCAACCTGTTAATCCAGGCAAACCACATACCTTTCATCAAGACGGGTTCATTATTTATTTATTTTTTTCATTTTACTGTCTGACTACACAAACACAGCTGATAACCCAAATAAAGAAAGGGCATAMTGACAACAGTCTCAACAACCAGTACGCTTTGTACATTTATGTTCATTTAAAATTATGATTACAGCAAAAATGTTCTCGTGTTTCTTTTTTTTTTTTAAATTCAGTTTACCGTATTTGATTTTTTTGAAATCCACAGTGGGTTCTGGATGTTAGCTTTGGAGGAACAACTCTTGTTTTTGTTTTTAAGGTTTGGTGATGAAACGAAAGAGTCRGGTATCTGACAAAAGATGCAAGGAAGTTTAACTGTAAAAATAATAAAGGTAATCTGTTCCGACATGCCCAGACATAAATGACCTCACCAAACCAGAGCAGTAAGTACATCTGTTAAAACATGACAGCATCTGTTGGTCATTTTAATTGATTTAAATATGAAGTAGTGGTTGTCRAAATAAAAAGAATCTATAACAAAAAAAATCTGAATTTCCTTACCCGTCTCCCACCACCACACACTTAATGGACTGCATTGGACAGCTTGATCTCAGTTAGACAAACGAACATAAGCTGRTCTTCTTTTGATAAAGTGAAACTAAATGAGTAAACCTGAAGAAATATTTGACTACTCCCTTTCCTTTCAGCAGCAACAGTCAGTTAAAGCCTATTTCAACTGACTGTTGACTGACTGAAAGCATATTTTAGACACATTTAACTGATTTATTATGAACTTGTGYCAATTTCTACCTTTAAAACTGTTCTTACCATTTCAAAAGTGGCTCCTGAAGAATAAAAAAGCCTTTATGCTGAACAAGCATTAATTAGTAATTTCAATAGAATAAAAAATAAAACATGTATTATTTGTGAAACAAGTTTAGAGACTGGTCATTTTGATTGTCAAATCAACCAAGAATATTTAAAAGATGAATTTCCGGTGTGCTAATAGTCATAAGTGTACAAGGTGGAGGGTTAAAGAGAGTTGATGAGATGGATGGATGGATGGATGGATGGATGGATGGATGGATGGATGGATGGATGGATGGATGGATGGATGGATGGATGGATGGATGGAGCCAAATACAGGGCAATCTTTAGAAGAAAATCTGTTGAGAATCTGCCAAAGACTTGAGACTGGGGCAGAGGTTCATTAAAAGTCCAGACCTGCCCAATCGAGAGTTTGGAAAGCTCTGAAAACTGCTGTTCACAGAGGCTCTCTTCTGATATCACGCAGTTTGAGCAGTTTTTCAAAGAGGGGGCAAAGCTTTCAGTCAGTAAAGCTGCTGGATACATACCCTAAAAGAGATGTAATTAGAGCAAAAGGTGATTTCATAAAGTATTGACTCAGGGGGGCTGCATACTTCTGCACACCTCATTTTTCATTTTATTTAAAAAAATGTTTTGAATCATGTATAATTTTCTTTCCACTCCACAACTGTACACCACTTTGTGTTGGTCTTTCACATTAAAGAGTAACTTACCCCAAAATTAACTTTTTTTAGCTGATAAACTGTCTAGACTGTGTCTAAAATGTTATATAGTGC